TATAAAATGTCTTAGTCCAATTTAGCATTACTGACTTTAAATTTTACAATGGAGAAAATGGACTTCCTATTGTACCGCTTTTCAATCACTTCAAATGCCTTGGTACTGAGATTCTACCAGAGATGCTACAAGTGTTTTACTCATACCTGTCACTCATAGTTGTCAGATTCTAGCTTAGAGGTCCTGTGGTTAAGAAGTTGGAGTTTAGTTTTGTCCCTTTGCCTCCTTAGACACCAAATCCTTCTGATATGCTGAATTCAATATTAACCATGTTCTAAGGGGGTTAGATCAGATCCGGTATCTAGCTCAGTACTATTGAGCCCTGTTACATACTTTAGGAGTGCCATTGATGGCAGGGAGCATGAGATTATTGTGCTGTACTGATAAAAATTACAGTTAACACATAAATGTCTAATAATTTCCAATAATATGTTTACAATAATTTCAAAATTGCAGGAAAGAAAACATGTGCTTTTAATTTACAGGGCTTTTTTTGTGGAGCTAAACTGTTTTATATTTAGTATATTTACAACTGTATGTACAAATATTGTTATCCCCAACAGGATATAAAAATTATAAAAATTTAAATGGTTTGTTTCACTTAGATACTGTATATTTTTGAAAGTACAATTATAAAACATACATGTTTTTAAGACGAAAGTGTCACAGACTTTTTTAGTTGCCCTAAACATGTTTTAAAAACATTTGGTGATGAAGAATTCTGATAGTTTTTGTCTGGCTCTGGTATAGTGTGTTTTCTTGAAATGGTTCCTGGGAACTTTCAGTTCTTAATGCATGTCTGGAAAAAATATATATTTTATCTCCAATAAATATGACCACACAATTTTTAAACATACCCTTAGCCAGCCAGGACAGTGTTGTCAGAAAGGCCTTGGTTTATTTATTTTAGCAGGAATCCCTTCCAATTTAATGTAAAAAGAATAAAAAATAAGATCTCAAAACAAGATTGTTCTTCTTATTTGATCTGTCTGTTTTCCTCAATACTTCCTTTTGACATCACTCTACATATAGTATATTTATAAACATGTCATATGGTTTTTAACATGAAGCAACTTTAAGAGTTCTGTGGTTAGACTGGTTAGGACTCTTGATTTAAGTCCTGAAATTCATTGAGTCTTTTGCTTTGTTTTGTTGCTGCGGACGCACTGAACTATGGTGAATCCTTGGCACATTAACAATGCCTTCACTTGCTCACCAGACCAGCAGTGAACATACATATACTGTAACTATCGCAATATCCTAGCTTTTCCCCTTTAATACATGTTTTTTTTTCTGCTTGGAGTGCAGTGAATGTACAGGCAAAAGTTATTAAGTATATTTTATAAAATGTGACGTCTTCTCAACCAGATGAGCAAAATAGTTCTTGAAGTCCCTTGCTGCTTAAAAGAATTTTAGTTTGAGCAAATTTAAAAATAAAATGAAGCACACTATAATACATGTTGCTGCTTATGTAACTTTACATAGACAATGACAGTATCTGAGTTAATAAGGTATCCTAGGGGAAAAAAATCATTGGGAAACTTCAGCAGAACTGATTCATAGTTGATATATGCTAAATAGGGTTTGTCCAATGATTGACAAGTTAGTGTGCAGAACTGAGAATTGAGAGATGTCGACTGCTTTTCAATTAAAAGCCTTTCACGTTCAGTCATTATTGCAATTCCAATTAGTTTCCACTGGTGTCCTCAGTTCCTTGTTTTACTACTGGTCTAGAGGCACTCCACTGTTATATTTTTATACTTTTTTAAGCTGTTTAATGAATTTAAATTATAAATAGCTATGTGACAGAAGACTAGTCCCAGAGTGTGAAAATAAAATATACACTACATTGGAAGAAGATATTTTAAACTTCTTCTAAAGAAGTTTTCATACTTGTTTATACTGTAAAACAAAGCTAACGAGTTTAATAGATTCTAAAGAGATTCAGCTCCTTTAACCTGTTCCTTTAATACCAGGAATTAAATTCACTCATCTTCTGTGAATGATTCCAAAGCACCAATGTCCTTTTTGAAATGTGGAAACCAAATAGCAAATACAATGAAAATACAATGAAAAAGATAATATGGCAAGGGCAAAAGGATACGTTTTAAAGTTGTTTAAAATGATAATTAAGGTGAGTCGCTTGCATTCATCATGTATTTGCCAAACATTAATATTAATTAATATTCATATAAATCCTCATAGTAGTAGGCCAATTAATAATATTAACTGTACATAATGTGTAAATTGAAAAGCCATATATTTAGGATAAAGTTTCTATTGGAAATAACGAGGGAAACAGCTGAAGGTAATTGCCTATCTCTATTAACTTTTCTTTTTCCAATGAACTGTGACACACAAAATACTTGTAGACTCCCATCCTGCATTGGCTGAAGCACCTGAAGTATATAAAAACATGAATAATTTTGCACGGGGTAGTGTTTTGAGAGCATGAATGGCTCCACTGTTTTGATTTCCAGGTATTTGTGGCCAGTTATTGAACTGAGCCATTACATTTTCACTCACTGGAAACGTCAGTGTGGCTGAAAAAGAAATAAATCACATGATAGTGCATTATTCACTTGAGGACATGCAAGAAATTGTATTAATTACTCTTCTTTGTGCTCAGAAGACATTATGACTTAATTATATTTTTATCTACATACAATATTTGCATAGAAATTTAATCTTTTCGGTATCGATATCGGTATAGTAAATAATATCTTTGTTAAAAAAGAGACAGTAGGTCGGTAAATGTCATACAGTTTCCTAATGTTTTAATGGCTTAACCAGGACATAAGCAGGACATAGTCTGTCTATGACAGCTCTGTTCTAAATTATAATATCCAATATAACCAGATTTGCAGTATGGTGTGTTTGATTATTTTATTGACAAATATGTTTATCTCTAAAGTCAGCAGGGCTGACTTTTAATTTCTTTCAGATTTAGTACTTCATTATTGTGTTTGATCCATAGCTGCCGAGATGAGTATAATCCGATTTTGGAACTCGATAAAACATTCTGAAAACAAAAACTTAATATGCTCAATAAATCAAAAGACAACCTAACACTATTTTCCTGTTGATTAGTTTGACATTTGGAAGCAGTGTGTTCTGGTTTCTAAGATGCATAACTACCACACTACAAAATAATCCATGACTCTCTGATGAACTCTTGCTGTATACTTTTAAACTCTGTTCTTATTTATGTCTGTCTCACTTAGTTGTGCCTGTTCTTCAGTGTCCTATTCCAAGATAAACCTGCTGAGTACAAGCTGATCACACTTCTCTACATAGTTTCATTTAACTGTAAAAGAAAAAGCAAACTTAACACCTCCCACTGGTAATGTGTTTTTTCATTCTTTTGAGATATGTTTATTTTACAAACGTCTGTGACTTGTTTTAAAGATATAATGCTCAATGGCAAAAAATCACATAAAATATTAGTATGCAGAAGCACCTATATACTCCTGATTTGTTTGTTTTCCTTTAATATCCATTTTCCTTTAATTTCCTGGGTCAATTAAAATTTCCAGCTTTTTTTACATTGTTTATTTCTGTTTATTAACTTGTATTTGTTTAAAGAAGGACTCCAAAAAAGTTTAGATGTATGCATGCATTTGTAAACTACATAGTGATTTTTAAGTTGGGGCATTACTGTGCATCCACCCTGAACAATAGAAAAAAATGGTTTTACATGTGTAATGTGAATCTCTATGGTTTTCCTGAATTTTAAACAAAAATCATTTTATAATCATATGTCTGTTAGGTCCACATTCCATTTTCGCTCTTTCTATAAAAAGGACAGATAGTGGCAATTGCTTAATTTCCTGTTTCTTATTCAAATAAGGCAGTCAACAGCCTTAAAAAAAAGGCTATATTTATCTTTTAGTGCTATGTCAGAGATGGTATTATGTTATGGTCACAGAACTATTTATTGAAATTCTGAACTATTTCTAACTTGTAAAATTAAGATGCTAATCAGAAAAAATTAAAAGAAAGTTAACTTTATCAGATGGAAGATGGAATCTTTTCAAAATGAGACCTTGGTTCGAAAAAGAGTTTTATAATAGAATGTTTGTATAGTTTTAAAATTTAGCACTTTTCTGCTTAAGAGAAAGTGATCAGTCTGCTGATGGCAGCCTTTCCTAGGACAGTTTTCTAGTTAATGGTCACAGCACAGAGCAGGTTTGCCCTAAGCCTAGATTGCTGTAGAAATGTAGCAGGTCATTTGAATACATCAGATGTGAGCACAGGCAAGTCTAAATCTTATGTCACGTTATATAGGTATCATGTAGTTCTGTTGAAATGTGTAATGTCCTATTTTGATTTGGGGCATCAGAATGAAAACTTATGGTTTTGAAAATGCTGTCATCAATTATGTATTAGTGGATGCTTGTAATTTGAATAGAAAAAAACTGCTCTGAGTTTGTCCTCTGTGTTTAAGAGATTTCCAAAAGCATATGACCGATATTTATACATGTATATATTCAGTCTGAGACAAGATAGTATGCTATAATTTTTTGTTACCCCACACTAGACCAGTGATTGATTATTTTGTGCCTGATTCAGGAAAAAAAAGGTTTAACTGCAAATACAGAAGCAGTCATCTGTTCTGGTATTACAGCTGTTTACAGAGTTCTTAAAAGAAGCAGATTGCCGCCTTTATCAGTTTTCGCTATCATGAAGGAAATATACGGTAGCTGTGGATGTAATTTGATCAATCTAAATTAAAGTTTTCTAAATTGCTATGTAAAGATTTGTAATGGACACGTTCACCCAGTCAGTCTTCAAACAAGCACTGCACTGTCCTCTTCAATCTAATAAATGTGCGTGCAGCAGCTTTCTAATTAGTTCCACAAGGCACTTCACACTATAACAATTACAGGAGTGAGTATGCAGAGTCCCCCCCTCAAGTCCCCCAACACACACCCCTTCAAAAAAGTCCTCTTTAATAAAAAGAAAGCCCTTAGTCAGCTGCTGGCGTGGGTTATGAATTTTCTAGCCATCCACTCATATCCTGGGAAAGGAAAAATAAGGAAAAAGCCAAGATTGAAAACAGACACAACCACTCTGGTGTTGAGAGTAGAAGAGGGAAGTACCCTTTTACAAGTCCTTTTAAATTCAATAGAACTTTTTTTGTCTATAGAAAACAAGCTTTGCTTTTAAATGTAGCTGTAGTTAGTTTTCTGTTCACGGCACTAAAATGACAATTTGTTCTAACTTCATATAAAAGTCTTCATCAGCCTCTTTTCTTTTTCATTTGGACTTGAATTAGTGAAGCTTGCCAGTATATTGTCTCGTGACTACTTTTTCTTTTTGGTGTTTTGTTTTCGTTATTTCGTAAGGAACAGAACACGTTTATCATATATAGATTTATGTTTCAAAGGTGTCAGCCAACAGAACGTTTTTTTTTTATGAAAGGAGCTGTATTCTCTGAAAATACATGACCTATGTGACTGAAGACCAATAGTTTAATCTTGGCCTCTTCTGATGTTTATTTCAACTTTTAACAGCCTTTTATTCTTCTAAAAGGTGATTTTCAGTGCTGCATCAGTGGCCACCCCTATCCTTTCATTTGAATAAATAAACAGAGTTCTGGTGCCTGTTTCAAGGGCTCAAGGGGCTAACCAGATTACAGCAATCATCTCTGAAGATTTGAGGAATCTACCCCAGTTCTACAAAAGGAAGCTAATTGAAAACTGCTACTCACACTTTCAAGGCAGTCGGACAGCAGTTCATATCCCTAAGAGAAATCACCGTTGGACAATGCTTTAAGTTTTTTTAAAAGTCTTTCTGATACTAGAGTGACGTGTATCCAAGGTAAGTCTTTCCCCCTTTTAATATATTTTTTATGTGCTTTTTGTTCACTTAAAGCTGTCTTCAAATATACCTGGAGTATATTTGGTAGAAAGTCTCCAGTGTTTAATATTGTTTGAGATCATTTAAAAGGAGAAAGTTTGTAGATCTGCTGGATTTTATCAAAGTCTGCATTAACAAACGTTGACTTAGTTACATTACACAGAAGTCTATTGCCCAAGTTTCTGAACTTGAAGATCTATTGGCTGTTTACAGTGAGATATACAGTACCATATTGGAGTTTTATCCTAATATATATACATACCATATACCCAGAAGCTGAAATACAGTAAACCAGAACTACAGTGCTTTTGGCATCTAATATTGTTTATAATACTTTGCATAAACTCAACCTATAAAAAATATGAAGTGATGTGTGTGCATGTTTCAGATTAGACTTGTAAACAGCCATGTTATTTCCTTTGATGTGGGACCTAATTGGTTCACTTTAAAAACAAAATTAAGCAACAGCTTGTATAGTGTATGTAGAAAAGAACTTCCACATATAAGAAATGAATACTTGAAGGCATGTCAGAAAAAAATACCCACTAATTAACAGAACACAGCAAATTCTAAAATTAAAAACAACAAAACCAATTTATCTTGGAATATCAAAAACAAATTATCATGGAATGTCAGTATTTCTCCATGGAAATCTTTGGAATTTGGCTAGTTATGCTGCAGGGAAAATATATTTTCCCCTTGAGTTTTCCACATTTAATACTGAGTGCTTTAATAAGAATGCTAAAAATCCTTTCTGCTTCAGAAGTACTTTATTAGGCTAAAGTGGTGCTTGACTTTAGGGGATCTGTATATGCTTATCTGTTTTCTCTTCAGACTTTGAGTTTCCTGAACTGTTTACTTTCACACAATTAGGCCATGTTTGACAGCCTGTCCTGTTGGCTGTGAAATCTTTTGTCATTGAGCAGTACTCTTGGATTGCCTTTGTACATGAAATGTCAACTTTTATGTCAGTGTCTTAAAAGAGAGCTAACCTCATTTTCTGTATAATCTAATATTTCCAGTGAGGTGTTCTCTACAGAAAGGCACAAAAATAAACGTAAACAACAGCTTAGTTAAACTGTTGATAATAGCAAATACAATAAGATAGACTTCAAGAACGTGCATCCTGTAAAGACAACCACTGGCACAGTTTGCTTCACGTAAGAAAACCTTTGGTAGGTATACAGCTTAGGCAAAGGAAAATGTTCACCCTTCTGTGGCAGACATCTGGTACACAGTATTTTGTTTGCATTTTTGTTTTCCTAGAGGTCATGGGAAAGCATGAAAAGCATTTTTTTTACTATGCTTGAGTTAAAGAAATGTTAGGTTTAGATTTTTGGACAGTCAACTGCTAATAACTTATCATGCTGACACTTCACTGAGGTGAATTTATGTCATTGTTCTGTTTTTTTTTAAAAAGCAAGACTGAGGTTTACTTACAGCTAGCATGTGGGTGTAGTATGAGTTGCTGCAACTGTTTGTACATTCTGTGAGCTCCTTTTCAAGCTTATATAATGTTCTTCCTGGATTTTTAATGAGGTTCTAGCTAGTCTACAACTAAAACTAATGATGGTGCTGATAATGGCCAAAAAAAACTTTCATTTATATTTTCCACCAATTGCAGAAATGGTCACTAATTAGAATCAGGTGCTGGAGTGTTATCTACAGAGGAAGGGGGACTTATATAAAGATTACTTTTCTTTTGGTTAAGTATATTTTAATATAGTAGGTAAATGAAAAGTGTTTATAATTGCCAGTGTAATTATACAGTATTTTATATTTGTCTTTAGAAAGTTTTCAATTCTTACATCTGAGACAAGTCTGCTTATACAGATCTACACATGTATAAATGAAAAGGTTATTAAACTCTTTGTACATTTTTCCAAGATTGAATCTATTGGTTAATTATATACTAATTATTAGGATTTGGGTAATCAGACTTTTTGTATAAATCATCTTTTTCAATCATGGTGTTCAACTGAAAATGTAAAAGAAAATCCAGTGAATGTGTGTGAAATACATCTTTCTACTAAAACAAATTTACACTGCAGAGGAACTGTGAATTCTCTGAATATTATAAAAAAGCAGAAAACGCCCGAATAAGGCTCCACAGCCGAAAGATTGTGTTTCCTTTCTTCTCTTTTCAGCATGGAATAAACCTATTACTCGTTCCTTCAAAACCGCCAGAGGTTTGTACAAGCTTCTATAAGTCACTTTGATTGCTACTGGATATTAACTAGGTATTGTCAATCTTAATGGCTCTAGTGGCAATTGTTTTAAATTCATAAGCCTCCCCATTTTCAGCTGAGGTGTTCTTCAACAATAAATTCATTGCTAACTGGCTCACTAATTGTCTCACAAGTCAAATAGTACAACCTGAAGTTGTTGGATGAAACACAAATTGAGTATTGTAGAGTCTTACCAAGACTATTATTATCATAGAAAAACCAGTGTTGAAAAAGAATGTCATCCGTTCAATGCAGAATAGAAATGGATTGTTGCCCTAGTTACAACTGGACAGCTGGATTGAAAGTTGTTTCAAGATATTTTAACCAGCAATTGGTGTCTTTTGTCATGAAATTCAAGATTGGTTTACAAATACAGTTAATAATAAGATAAGTTTGAGGCATACATCAAACCCAGTGACCAGAGGATTAAGTGAGGATATAAATCAATGTTCTTGACTGCTTATCACAGTCCATTTTAATGGTATCGTAGAAATTTGAAATAATATATTTTGAAATACATGTCACTGTTTTTATAGTTCTGTTTATAAAAATACAATAAAAATGAACTTCTTACATTATTTTTCAATTTTGCCTTCTTTTATGAATACAGTAAGTATTGAATATACTGGATTCTCATGCCAAGGTAACTTTTAGTTACAATTCATTGAAGGCGGGAACAGATGTAGAGGCGATTGCATACAGTATTTCTAGAACTGTTACACAACAAGCTGAGTGGATTTTTAAAATAATATCGTATTTCTTGCATCGTGGTTTATACAAACTCTATTCCCTTTTCCCACAAGAAAACGTGACTCAAAATGAATTGTAAAGCAAAGTTGTGCTGTTTTTATCTGATGCATTCTGCAGCTGCTTGTTAGAAAACCCAACTCTCACAGCAGAGAGAAAAAGCTATTTTTATGACAAAGCAATAAAGGGACTCTTGGCAGGGAAGTGAAAGCATGATCTGCCTCTTAGAGAAAGTTAGAAAAGTTATGGGCCTTCTTTTTACACTCAATATTGATATAGGTAACATTTTACTCAACTGCCAGAAGACTGGAAATAAAAAAAAAATGTTTATTATAACCCATCTCCAAGAAAAAATGTCTTACGGTACAGGGGTGATATTGTGTTTGCAAAAGACGCCTGTGAATTATCAGACCTTGATTCTAATCTAGGTCTCACGTACTCTACTGTACTTCCTGCAGAGGAGTTGGATTCTCGGAAGACCTTCCTATGCAAATATACTTCCTTTAACTTTGGGGGAAAATTGCTTGTGAAATCCTGCTCACAGTCAACTACAGTACATGATTCAGGCTCTGGTTGACAATACTGTATATGGATCACAGAGCTCAGCCTGCCCCTATAATGAGTACCTTTATCAGTTGAACCACATGATAGAATATCCCAGCACTTTTACATCATTACATCAGTTATTTCTAAATCCAGATGGTCTGCCAGTTCATCAAATTCTCAGATTTACTTAAAACTCCAAGGATGCAAAACCCAAAACTCCCTGACAAAGGAACAGACATTTTCTAATAACTGGAACTGGCAACTTGACAAGTGGCTGGAATGCTCAGATTCATTGCTTTCCATTTAGTATCTGTTGATCCCATAATATGTGTTTTTTATGATAATGGAGACTTGGCATTTTATAGTTGCTTTATCTGCACAACCCAGCCAACGTATCTCAAAGCTTAGATCAAAAGCAAGACAAGATAATGTAAAACATTCCATCATCCCTAGAACTGGAAATGTGTTCAGTTTGGAAAATTGTTTGGGAAGTGAATAAAAACTGAAAAAATAAATGACTGAAAATCGATGAACAGTTGAACCCAGATAACTGCTATTAGGAGACATAGCTTCTTATTATTTTATTAATAAAATATGTAGGCTTATCCAAAATGTATAAGTTAATTTTTAGTAAAAAAAAAAGATAACAAAAAAGAATATATGCACTTTTAATTGTCATGACAGCTACAGTACCAATATCACATTATATTTCAAATTAATTCATTAGGACAAAAAAACTAATTTTCTTCTTTGTCTGCGGAAAATTATTTGGAAAAGGAGAGGAATTTAAAAAGACCATGGCTATAATTGTATTCAGCTGTTCCTTTTTTATGGGCGTCCGCTGTCTCTCACACAGAGCAGGAGATGATATTCCCTGCGGATTTTAAAGACTGGGACATTTTTTTTCCAGATGGGAAGAGTTTAAAGGGCACCCTGTGTGACTCTCAGTGCATCTCACAGCTTTGGTGCTGTCAAAAGGGGCCAGTAATATATTAATGACACTATTTCCTTTTGCGACAGCTGATTTAAGCCTGAAGTCAACATGTATAAAGAGCATATGTGTCCTGTAGTGATTTTTTGGGGGTAATGTGAGTACTAGCCTTTGACTTTGGCTTTGGTAAAAAACAATGTAAACTGCAGAGGATTTGGAAATATGCTGCTCAGATGTAATATTAAACCCCAAAGTCAAATTTGCAGCATATTGAACACACCTAGTACCGTTAGGTTAAAAAGGATATTCCGACCATAAAAAGTAGCCACTAACTTGGGTAAAGTCAAATACAACTTGGTGTCACTTTCAGGGACCTAGTTTTAGCTTTTGATAGATTCATTTTAAAACAACATTCTTGTTACGTATATGTTGTCAAAAATGAATTAATCTTGATTAGTCAGCATTTGAAATAAGTCAATACTATATCTGGCACATTTCCTTGTGTTAAA